TTACTTTTGGTCTTTTTGAGACAGGGTCTCCCTGTAGCCCCAGCTGACCTGGAACTCGCTATGTAGACCAGGCTGGCCTTGAACTCATAGAGATCTGCCTGCCTCTGCCTCCCAAGTGTTGGGATTAAAGGCATGTACCACCACACCCGGCCCTGTTTTGTTTTATTTTAAGAAAGGCACTCATGTAGCCCAGGATGGCCTCAAAATTACTATGTGGACAAGGATGATCTTGAATTTATGATCTTCCTGACTCTATCTCCTAAGGGCTGGGATTACAGATGTGCATCACCATGCCTGATTTATGCAGTGCTGGGATGGAGTCCAGGTCTTCACACATGCTAGGTGAGCACTCTACCAACTGAGCCACATCCCTAGCTCAATTTTGTTTTTATCTTAATACTGTTGTGTTGAATTGCCCAGGGTGGCCTTAAACTCCCTGTGAGGCCCAGGCTAGCCTGGAACTACCAGTCCTCCTAGCCTCTACCTCCTGAGTGCTGGGATTGCAGGTGTGCATCACCATACCCATTCATGGGATGCTGAGGCTGGAACCTGGGGCTTTGTGTATGCTAGGCAAGCTCTACCAACTGAGCCACATCCCTAGACCTCTGTGTGTGTATTCAAGTGTGCAGTGTGTCCCTGATGCCTTCACCCATGAAGAAATCATCGCAGTGACGCCTGTATGGGCAGGAATAGCCTAGAGAGAAAATTCAGAATGCGGAGTCCTTTACCCAGAAAGTGCCAAGCTCCCCTTGACTTCTTTCTGTTTTTTAAAGATTTATTTTTATTTATACTTATATGTATGTATGTGTTTGTGTTTATGTACACATGAGTACAAGGTCCATGGAGGTCAGAAGAGGGCATCCAATCCCCTGGAGCTGGAGTTACAGATGGTCATTAGCTACCATGTGGGTACTGGGAACAGAGCCTAGGTTCTCTGCAAATGCAGCATGTGTTCTTAACTGTTGAACCTTATCTCTAGCTGCAAGTCACTCTTTTTAATATCAATACTTCTCATCTGTTGGTTTTTGGATTTGCTTTTGCTTTTCTACTGAGACTAAATTTCCTCTCCACAAATGGGTCACTTCCATTCTGGAGGGTCTGTTTTTTGTTTTGTTTATTTTTTTGTTTTTTTTATTATTTTTATTTTATGTGTATAAATGAGTGTATCGTTTGCCTGTGTGTAAGTGCATTTGTGTCATGAAATGTTGGAGGAGGTTAGAAGAAGTCGGATCCCTTGGAACTGGAGTTATGGACAGTTGTTAGCTGTCATGTGGGTTCTGGGAATCGAACCCGGGTCCTCTGCGAGTGCAGTCAGTGCTTTTAACCGCTGAGCCATCTCTCCAGCCCCGAGGGCCTGGTTTTAATGAGCAATTTTGCTAGCTTGTGTATGTGTGACTATTTCCGTTGTTTTAATTGATTATTTAATTAATTTCTTTAAAAGAATCTAATTGAATTGGTTCTCAACGGAAGGCCTGGAACTAATTAAACACAAAGCTGGGCAAATCTGGCTTCCAACAGCCCCCACCCCCCCAACCCCCAAGGCTGCAGCCAGCATGAATCCCAGAACTGGCCTCAGATTCAAGGTGTAGCTGGCTGGCTCAGGAGAGAGCAGATGGTCAGGCTGCCATGTGTCTGTAAGGCTGAACAGGGAGGAATCCCTTTCCACATCTGAGAAGCCAAAGATGGCTCTCATAAACCGAGACATTAATCTCGCAGCCTGGACCAGAGCACAGACTTTGGAAAAGAGTCAAGTGGAAAATCCCATTTCTTTGCACTATTGGAAGAATGATGAAAGCTCGCAGCTGCCACAATCTCTTTTCATTTGCAGCTATTGAATTACCTGTTGGCTCAGCTCATCTTTCTATTTAAAATAAGCAATAAAATATACCCTGGGCCATTGACTTCCTTCAATACTCTGCATGTATGGAAAAGATGGAAGCCAGAAGAGAACCCAGTGTTCCTGGCTTCTAGAACTTTCTCCAAGTCTTCACTGGAGAGATTCTCTTCTAGGGAGTCCCTTGGCCACTGGCAGAAAGCAAAGCCACCAGGAGGCTCAGCTCCAATGTCACCTGTCCCAAGAAAGGGATTCCCCCAGGAAGAAGGCTTAAGTCTTTCACTCTTTCAAAAAATATTTTTTTAATTGTGCCTCTGTGTGTGTGTGTGTTTGTGTGTATGGTATTTGTATGTATCTGCTCATGTGTGCGCACACATGTATGTAGAAGCCAGAGGTCAATGTCAGGTGACTTCCTCAATTCCTCTCCATTTTATGTTTTTAAAAGATTTATTTTTATTTGTGTATGTGTGTGTGTGTGTGTGTGTGTGTGTGTGTGTGTGTGCTATGTGCATCCAGTGCCCATGGCAGTCAGAAGAGGGTGTCAGATCCTCTGGAGATAGAGTTGCAGGTGCTGAGAACTGAACTCAGGTCCTCCACAAGAACAGCAAGTTCTCTCAACCACTAAGCCAGCTCTCCAGCCCCTCAGCTTTTTTTTTTTATCACAGGGTCTCTCACTGAACCCGGAGCTAGGCTAGAAGTGAGCAAGCCTCAGGGACCCCCTCCATTTCTGCCCCCAACAGCGCTGGAGTTACAGGCTTGTGCACAACTGTGCCTGTTTTTCTTTAAGTTGGGTGCCAAGGTCAGACCTCAAGTCCTCACACTTACATAGCAAGCACTTTACCAACTGAGCCGTCTCCCCAACCCTGTAGGATGCTTCTACAGCTCAGGGTTGTTCTCACTCTATGACTTCTTACCTCCTGCTCCCAGCTCCACCCTAAGGGGTACATGTGCCCTGCCTGGAAACTGATCCTCTCTTGCCCAGTGAATCTCCAATGAATATAGGGCTTAGACTGCTTTGCCAAGAGGATGCATACACAAGTGATAATGTTACAGCTGAGAAGGAATTAGAAGTCATCCCAAGTGTGAATTGAAGGTCCCAGAGAAAAGTCACACCTGTGCCAGTGTCAAAGATTCTGTACACACCTGATCACCTGATTAGAAAGTCTGTGATTGTGGAGAGTTGGAATGTTGCAGGTCCAGGGTCAAATGATTATGGTCTACCTTCAGCCCTCTTTCTGGCCAAATCGACCAAAGGATGAATTCAGAGAGCCACTGTTTCTATATGTGCACACACATATATCCATACATACACAGAGACAGACAGTGCACACATGTGCACACACACAGACAATACACATGTACCCATATACACATGCACACATACATGAATTTTCACACATACATGCACCTGTACACACATGCACACACATGCACACACACCTCACATATCTGCACACACATATACATACAGTGCTTGAATACAAACATGCACCTGCATAGGCAGACATACACACATGTACCTGTACATAACCACCCACACACCTGCACACATATACATACATGCACCTGTACACACGAGCATACACATAAGCACCTGCACACAAACATAGATACATGCACCCGTAAACACATGCATACAGACACATGCACCTGCAAAACACACATGCACCTATACACACCCATCCCTACATATCTGCACACATACACACAGACACACTCTCCTGTTACACAACCACATGCACCCACATGTACACAGGCATAAGATGCTGTCATCACATATAAATAAACACTGTAAAGTACCAGATTCTGCACTTCTCAGAAGCTGATCTGGTAGAAGTGGAGAGTAGAGCCATGGTTCCCTAAGGCTGGGAGAGGGAGGAGAGTGCGGCTAACAGGTACAGAAACAACAAGAAGCTCACACTCCTGTGCCCAGCACAGCAGAGTAACCACAGTCAAGGACAACTCATTGTATATGTTACAATAATCAGGAGAGGACTTTGAATGTCAACAACACAGACTAATGGTACATGTTTGAGGTGGAAGATCAGCTAAAGATGAATTTGACTGAAGACCATTGTATGTGTGTGTGGAAATGGCACACTGCACCCTATAAATATACACAATTACTATGCGGCAGTTGAAAAGACTCTTCTCACTCATTAATCTACACAGAGCTCAGGTTATTATACTTCTGAGCTGACTTCAAGTTGGTTAGGGAAGAATAACTATTTGACTTTTATTTTCATTTGTTTATATTTGTTGTTATTTTTAAAATTCAGTTAATTTTAAGTTTAAATTTTAATATTTAATTTTAATTTATTTTAATTTTACAAATTAATTTAATTTACAACCAATTTTTAATAACTTGTTGATTATTGTTTAATTTTTTATAATCTGTGTGTATGTTTGTATGTGCATGTGAGTGCAGTACCTATACAGGTCAAAAGGGGGCACTGGATCTGCTGGAGCTGTAGTTTCATGTGGTTGTGAGCTGCCCAAGCTAGGTGCTAGGAACTGAACTTGGGTTCTCTGCCAGAGCAGCAAGTGCTCTTAACCACTGAACCATCTCTCCAGGCCCTATTAGTTGTTATTGTTATTATAGAGGAAAAAAAAAATCTTTTTTGAGACAGGGTCTTGTATTTCCCAGGCCTGGCCTTGAACTCACTATCACAGTGACTATAATGGTTAATACTGGTTGTCAACTGGATCTAGAGTCACTTAGGAGACACACTTATGGCCATATCTGTGAGGGAGTTTCTAGGTTGGGTTAACTGAGGAGGGAAGACCCACCCTGAATGTGGGCAGCACCATCCCATGGGCTGGGGTCCTGGACTGAATAAAAAGGAGAAAGTGAGCTGAGCACCAGCATTCATTTCTCTCTGCTTCCTGACTGTGGATGCCATGTGATCAGCTGCCTCACACTCCTGCCACCATGCCTTCCCACCATGATGCACTGTGCCCTCAAATTGTGAGCCACAATAAACCCGTCCTTCCTTAAGTTGCTTTTGTCAGGCATTTTGTCACAGCAACAAGAAAAGCAACTAATTATCTGATGATAATAACAGAGACTGAAATAGGTAGTGGCCAGTGGTCTTCCCTTTTCCATTCTCCCAGTGGCTCCAAAAGAAATAGGCAGAAAGTCCCACCTCCCAGATTCAGCCCTTCCCGAGCACCCCTGAGTTTTGACTCGTGACCTACCAGCCAGCAGTGAATTCCACATGGGCATCAAAGAAGCCAGTGACCTGGCCGGTGGCTGCTTTCCAGCCCTCAATGCGAGCTCGGATCAGGCCCTCTCTCTTTTGATTGCGAACCACCTTCACCAGCCCAGGGTAGCGTTTGTGGACATACTCCTCCAGGGGTGCCTTCAGCTCTTCTAGAAATGACAGAACACAGGAAATGTGTGAATACATCATCTCAAACCTACATCAAAACATGGTGATGAGCCTGCCATGGTGGTGCATGCCTTTAGTCCCAGCACTTGGGAGGCAGAGTCAGGTAGATCTCTGTGAGATGGGGGTCATTCTGGTCTACATAGCAAGCTCCAGGCCAGCTAGGGCTTCAGGGAGACCCTGCCTCAGCCACCCCCCCCAAAAAAAACCCAAAAAACTAACAATAATGATTTCTGTGGGAGACTGTCTTGATTGTTAATTGATGTGGGAAGACCCAGTCCACTGTGAACAGCACCATTCCCTAGGCAGGGGGTCCCAGGCTATGTAAGAGAGGACAGAGCCAGTTGAGTTGAGTATAAGCAGGGCAAGGACCCACAGGTTTATGCTCTCTTCTTGACTATGGATGTGGTGCTTGAGCTCCTGCCCTGATTTCCCTACAATAATGACTATGACATGGAATTGTAAGACAAACCTTTCCCTCCCCTGAGCTTCTTTTGGTCAGTGTTTCATCCCAGCAACAGAAATGAAATTATAGATCAGGGGCTGGAGGGAGCAGAGCCTCTGACTCCATGAAGCCCTGCCAGCATTGAAGCTGGAGTCAGACCTTGGACTCAGGTTCTACAGCCCCACGTATTACTCTAGTGATCTTGCACAAGTCAGCCAATTACCATCTTTCTCATCCACTGAGAAGGTGACTCTCAGTCTTCAGGGTTAGTATGAGAAGCAAATGAATCAATATCAAGAGAATGTCCCAAATTATTCTAGCAAAATGTAACAGGTCAAGATGGATAATTAACTTAGTATTGATATTTTAAATTATTGTTATTATTATCATTATTATGCATGCATGCACATGTATGTGCCATGGAGTGTGTGTGTAGGTCAAGAGGACAATTTGCAGGAGTCAATTCGCTTCTTCCACCCAAGTGAGTTCTGGGGATCAAACTCAGGTTATCATACTTGGCAACAAGCACCTTTACCCGATGAGCATCTTGCTGGCCCCTGAAAATTATTTTTATTTCTATTTTTTTTCTTCCACATGCATCTGAGAGGCCTGAATGGGGATTTCAGAGGAGGTTAGAGAGCATAAAGACACCATGCCAGTAGTGACAAAAATGATAACCATGTGTGCTAGATAGCTTTGGTGTCAACTTGACACACCTGGGTTGAGGGAGCCTCAGTTGGAGAATTGCCTCTATTGGACTGGCCTGTGGCCATGTCTGAAGGGCATCTTCTTGATGAGTGATGTGGGAGGGCCCAGCCCACTGTGGGTGGTGCCACCCCTGGGCAGGTGGGCCTATGTAGCATAAGAAAGCAGGCTGAGCAGGGGCCAGGGGAGCAAGCCAGTAAGCAGCCTTTCTCCATGGCCTGTGCTCCAGCTCCTGCCTCCAGGTTCCTGCCCTGAGTTCCCACCTTGGGCTCCCTGATGAACTGTGACCTGGGAGATGTAAGCTGAATAAACCCTTTCCTCCCCAAGTTGGTATTGGTCAGAGTATTTTGTCACAGCAGTGAAGAACAAACTAGGACACTGTGCTACAGAGAAGGTAACTATTTGTACTGGGAACGTTCAGGGAGAAGGTTAGCTGAAGGTTTGGTGGTGGAGGGTGTGCTCTCCCATTCCACAACATACTCACGTAGAAAAATATAGAATCAGAGGGCTGGGGATCTCTTTCAAATGGCAAAAAAACTACAAGACTACCAGAAAACAGTTAATAAAATGGCCAATGACATTCGTAGGTAGGAAAAAGAGTGGAACATCAACGCTCGCTAGAGTTAGCAGCAGGGGCACAAACTCAGAAGGGCAGAGTTTCTGAGCGAACGGGGCTGTACTGATTACTTTCCTGCTGCTGTGCTAACACATCATTGTAAGCTTTGGGAGGACAGAGAAAGAACAAAGCTTAGGTAAGATACCAGAGGCAGACCTCCAGTAGACTGAACAGAGGATTTGTTCAGTGAAGGTGACACAGCTTCTCTGCAGACAAGCAGGCTGTGCAAAAGTGGGGGGGTTAAAGTGAATTTTATATTACCAGAAACAAAGAAGGCAGAGGGGTATCCTTGGTCCTTTTCCTGGAGTTGTAGAGCAAAGAAGCTGTTTAGCTTGAATGTGGCTAGTTGAATACCTAGCTGATAACCCAGGCACAAGGACAGCAGAGAGACATCCTGGCAAGAGGAATAGGTTGTCCAGCCTACTGCATCTGTGGCATTCCACCAGGCCCCAGATAGGGATGTGACTAACTATTAACAGTGGAGCTAGGGTGAGACATTTGTCTCAGGGAACTTCTGGTTTCTATCAACCATGACCAGAAGCATGAAGACTGAGTTTGATCCACAGAATGCATGTAAGAAAAATCCAGGTATGGTGGTATGTGCTTGCAATCTCAGCCCTGGGGAGGTGGAGCAGGTGGATCCCTAGGGCTCTCTGGCCTGCTAGCCTAGTTGAAGCCATGAGTTCCAGGTCACTGAGAGACCCTGTCTTCAAATACAAGGTGGACATGCCTGAGTAATGATACCTGAAGCTGACATCTGGCCTCCACACAAATGTGAATACACATACACACACACACACACACACACACACACACACACACACACACACACACACACACACACACACACACACACACAGAAGAAAGGGCTGGAGATGTAGCTCAGTGGTACAGCCCTTGCCCAACATATTCAAGACCATAAACTTAATCCCCAGCACCAGAAGAAAAGAACAACACTTTATATGAGTTTTTTTTTCTTTTTTCTTTTTTTTTTTTTGTCTCATGAACAAACTCAGAGAAGAAAACAAAAACCTATTTCTTCCAAGATAAATGTTTACCTTCCAGTGTTAGAGGAAATTCAATACCAAATTGGCCAGGTGCCATTTGGGAATCCTTGTGCTGCTGAAGGTTTTGATAAACAGTATTTTGGGAAGTTGAGAAGGGGGAAGTAAATACCGCCCAAGATCAGAATGTATCAGCATGGGAGTGTTGTCTGCACCTTAGCAATAAAAGCAACACCTGTTATCCAGGCTTAGGGAGTGAAAACTGGAAATAATAGGTACAAACAATGGGGGCTGAAGAGATGGCTCAGCGGTTAAGAACACTGACTGTTCTTGCAGAAGACCAGGGTTCAAGTCCCAGCACCCACATGACAGCTAACAACTGTCTGTAACTCCAGTTCCAGGGGATCCAACAGCCTCTCTGTTCTCTGCAGGCATTGCACGACACAGGTGCACTTACATACACGCAGGTAATACACTCATACACACAAAATAAAAATAATAAATGTTAAAAAAGAGTTACAAACAATGAAAACTAAGGGGGAAATATTATTTCAGAAATCTAGCTGGAGTCCTCACTCTCAGCAGCATGATGGGACACACAGTTCATAGTCTCTTGTCTCAAAGTCCTGCTGGGGAACAACAGCTAATGCAGGAGGCTTGCCTCTACCTACATCCAAAACAAACACGAGAAACTTTGGATCACACAGACATGGGCCTGAAAGTAGCCACTGGATCAAAGGTTGAACCAAGATGTTCACTGTAGATAACCTCACACCTCTACCCTCATATAGAAAGTCTCTAGGCAAAGGAAAATTGAATGCTCTGCTCTCCCAAGGTGTGGATACATGCAAAAAATGGTCTAAGCTCACAGGAATGTTTCTAGAATTTTAAGTTGCATTGCAACCACTGGTATGTCCAAGGTATGGTCTGAGAACTTATATCTCTTCGTGTGCGTGCATGTGTACAGGTGCTGCCTACCTTGTTTAAGGTATCTCACTGGCTGGAAACTCATTAAGTAGGCTGGACTGGCTGTACAGCCAGCACCACGGATCCACTTGTCTCCAAGACCAGGGTTCAAGTCCCAGCACCCACATGACAGCTAACAACTGTCTGTAACTCCAGTTCCAGGGGATCCAACAGCCTCTCTGTTCTCTGCAGGCATTGCACGACACAGGTGCACTTACATACACGCAGGTAATACACTCATACACACAAAATAAAAATAATAAATGTTAAAAAAGAGTTACAAACAATGAAAACTAAGGGGGAAATATTATTTCAGAAATCTAGCTGGAGTCCTCACTCTCAGCAGCATGATGGGACACACAGTTCATAGTCTCTTGTCTCAAAGTCCTGCTGGGGAACAACAGCTAATGCAGGAGGCTTGCCTCTACCTACATCCAAAACAAACACGAGAAACTTTGGATCACACAGACATGGGCCTGAAAGTAGCCACTGGACCAAAGGTTGAACCAAGATGTTCACTGTAGATAACCTCACACCTCTACCCTCATATAGAAAGTCTCTAGGCAAAGGAAAATTGAATGCTCTGCTCTCCCAAGGTGTGGATACATGCAAAAAATGGTCTAAGCTCACAGGAATGTTTCTAGAATTTTAAGTTGCATTGCAACCACTGGTATGTCCAAGGTATGGTCTGAGAACTTATATCTCTTCGTGTGCGTGCATGTGTACAGGTGCTGCCTACCTTGTTTAAGGTATCTCACTGGCTGGAAACTCATTAAGTAGGCTGGACTGGCTGTACAGCCAGCACCACGGATCCACTTGTCTCCACCTCCCCAGCATTGGGCAGGTATACGCCATCACACCCAGCTTTATTTATATGAGTTCTGAGGTTTGAATTCAGGTTCTCATGCTTGTGAGGCATCTCAAAAATTTAATTTTTAAAATTGGTGTATGTGTGTGCGTGTGCATGTGTATGTGTACTCACACACACATGTGCACACATGCATGAGGTCAGTCCCTCAACCCTATGCTGTCCCGGCTTCTGTTCACTTTCCCTCTATTTCTGTTATTATTCCAGTCATCTCCATATACAAGGCAGCTCCATGGAATAACCCCATTTACCCAAAACCACAAAAAACCCTTTTTTCTCTGTACATAATACCTCAGTGCTGTAGTTGGAATGGAAGTCTCCCCGCAGGGTCATGTGTTAGAGCACTGGCTCCCCAGAAGGTGGCGCTGTTTTGGGAGGCT